CCGACAGCTGGAACAGAGAGTTTTTCAAAAGGGTTTTTTTTTTCCTATAACCCACACAGGCAGTCCCAGGAGGGCGAGGAGAGGGAAGGGCTCCAGAGGGGAGAGGGCAGAATGCATAAACACCCTCTTTTATGCTGAGCCTGAAAGGCTCCAAAAGCCCAAGAGAATCCTCTGCAGCAGTGCTTTAAAGGGATCAAAAAAGAGACAAGTGTTGGTTTATATCTGGGTGTCAGCGTGAAATGCCAAATAAAAATAATCACTTGGTGCTATTACAGCAAAAAGACAAAGAACTGGAAAGAGGTAATTTTGAAACACATGTCCCAAGTCATCACTGTCTTCTGAACACAAGAAAGAGCCTGCCTGTGGGTTTACAGGCCAAAAAAACCCCTTAATCTGCTCCCAAGTGCTGAGGGGGCACCAAGGATTTGAAACCAACACAGAAAATTTCAGCTTCCTCTAGTTTCCAGTCCAAGAATCACAAAATGGTTTCAGGTTAATGTGGCTTTTTTGAACTCATGTTGGGATTCCTGCAAAGCCTCCCTGTGTGAATTCTTACATGTATGATGGTGATTTTCTGGCATTCCAAAAAATTCTGAAGGAAAAGGCATGAATGACTGCAAGGAGAGCACCGAGTGCATCCTCACAGGACACACTGCTCTGCTCTTCATTTACATTTCAGCCAGCTGCTCACTGAGAACACAGCTCACAGATTAGTCTGGGACACATCCTCCCTTTATTCATCAAAGATCAAATTTGGGTGGTTAGTAAATATGGCCTTCCTACCTATCTGAAAAATACTAACCAGATAAAAATAGCAAGCGGCTTCTGTACAGAGAGGGGCAGCCTCAGGAACACGATTGTTCACAGCAGGCAGAGCTGCATGAGTCACTTGGGGAAGGGGACAAGAATCCCAGTGCTGCCAAGGGACACACTGTGCAGTTCTGCTGCAGCCCCCACCTTCTGCTCAACCCAAACACAAACTGCGGCCCCAGCCCAAGGTTCAATCTCCCAGCAAGCAAAGAAAGGTCCCAGAGTGGTTTGGGGTGGAAGGGCCTTTAAAGCCCATCCCATCCCACTCCTGCCATGGGCTGGGACACCTTCCACCATCTCAGGCTGTTCCAAGCTGGCCTTGGACACATCCAGGCATGGGGCAGTGTTTTTATCCCTTTGCTTTTTTATCCCAGGTGAAGAAGGTCCAAACTCCTGGATCCAGGCCAGGATCAGACCTGAATGAAGACACCTGGCAGGTCATCCCAGTTCACAGATTATGCCTGAACTTTCTGCATGCATATTGTGTAAGGGCCTGTGACCAGGAGAAAATCTCTTAAGAGGATGTGAACAAAAGCAGCTGAAATTTTAAAGCACTCTTCCTCAATCCTCCTTGCATAATTACCCTTTGCTGAGGAAGCATCAGACAGGAATAGTCACTCGAGATAAAGTGAAAAACATGGACACCCATCCCTCAAGATGTAATTTCTACACAGAACCAGCATCCTTTAGGTTGGAAAAGGCCTGAAGATCATCAATGCATGCTTTTGTTACAGCCTGGCTACTTATGTTCATGACATGCTTCAAAGGGAAGGCTGAGGGTGACACTTCATTTAATGTTTTAATATTAAATATGACCACTCCTGCCACTCAAGTGACACACTGCTCACTGTGGTACTGAAAAAAGTTATGTGGTGAAGGCTGCTACAGTATAAAAATATTTTTAAGTCAAATTTGGAAAGTGAGTAAATGATCACAGCTTTCTGAAAAACACATTAAAGGCTTTATTCTTTATCTTTTACACTAAAAATGAATTTTTCCTGCAGTAAGCTCCTTCACAAAGACAGATGAAACCTCCACTGACTGCAACAGCCACTTGCTGCCTCAAGTCAGGATGGTGGGTGGCTTTTATGCTTTTTAAAACACTAAAAATAATTACTCCACATGAAATGAATAAATAACTCTTAAATATACAGAGTATGTAGAGAAAAAAACCTCCTTTTTGTCATCCCACCCTGGACCATAGTTTGTCTTTTTTGTTTTATTAGACTCACTGGAAAACGACATACTGAAATGATCATGACATAACTTAAAATATTCACAGACATGCCAGAGATGTGGAAAAGCCCTTAAGTCATGTTTCACACCCCTGTGGCTTTTTGGAAACAAAACCCAAACAAGGAACAGAATCCTGCTGCCACTCCTGTACACTTCACTTCACCTCAGTCTACAAAGAATTCAGTCCCAAATTCCATGTACACCACACACCTCACTTGGCTCCTACAGGCAGAATTAACTCTGAGGTGGGGGGAAATAAAGCCACAACATTTCCCACACCTCACTTCTTGTTTCAGCAGGTAAAGCAACCACCAGTAGCAGTTTTTATTCCAATTGCTGAGAAGGTCCTTAGAAGATCACAAATCCCTAGGATTCCTTATCTCCCACCATTTCTGTGAAAAACACATTCAGTCTCTTGTGAAAATTTAGAAAGTCTAATAAAGCATAATAGGAGATAAGGATTATAGAGTAAAGGTTATTACAGCTAAAAGCACACTGTTATCTTTGGGGATACTCTTTAAATACTTCTTCTTTTATATCAGCTTGTTGTATATTCACGGACTCTTATGCATAGTAAAGTTTTCTTTTAAACAGTTTACATGTCCTAAGAACTGTTTAGTAAATCTTTTTGGGTCTGTCTTTTTAGAGTATGTGTATTCTTTGGTTATGGTTTTAGTCTGTTCTTATCACCTCCAGTTTTTGGGCTTTGGTCTACACTGTCTTCAAACATTGAATGTTGATAATTGGCAGATCTGTAGTAGGTGTCTTCTTCATATGTTTATTAGAAGTTATCTTCTCTAAGTAGGTGTTTTAACACAAGCATACTTATAGCAGCTATTTCACTACTATGGCTAAGCTTAATTAACAACAGAAATAAAAACTAAATCTTCATAACAAAGTTGCTTTAACATCTCACATATAAAATCCATTTTAATATTTGTGAAAAGCCAATATTGAAACATATATCTATAACAAATTCCTTCTTGTATCATCACAGAAAAAAACTGAAAAGTCCCAGAGTACTGAAATTCCCCCCTTACAACAGGGTAACACATTGCTGCTTTTCTCACATCTGATTACAAATGTGTCACTCAGCAGCACAGCTGAGTGTATGCTAAATATGCAAAGGAAGACTCCCAAGGCCGTTTTTATTCCTGATAAAAACTTACTCTTTGAGAAAACAAAGGTTTGCAAGTTGCAAACACGTGAGGGACTGAATAGTTCGGAGCAGAAACAAAAACTGGGGCAGGCAGTGAGAGAGAACTCACGGTGAAGCGCAGGGTTCCTCCTCCTGGTGGGCAGGTGGCGATGGGCCGCGAGAGAAACCTCTCACTTGGAGAGATGAAGGAAACCTGCCACCATCTTTACACAGCTAAAATTCATTTCCTGGGATGCTGGAGCCCTCGAGGCCTGCAGGAGATGTGGCTCTGGGCTGATGCAGGGCAGGTTTCCTGGTAATTGCAGCCATTTAGAAGGCAGAGGCGAGCAGAAATTGCAGTCCCTGGCCCTAATACCACTTTCACGGGAAGCAAATATCCATCACCTCACCCATTAGGCACTGATTTTATGATGCCTGTTAAATTTAGCTGTTAAGGAGCCATTCCAAGCCAGTAAACTCAGGTTTTCCTTAGCTGATCAAGCAGCTGACACCTTCACATCCGATACGCATCCTCTTCTTTATCCAATTTAACAATCTGACACATTTATAGTCCCTCAGAAAAGGAGACGGGGAGAATCCACAAGGCTCTCCAACAGGAAGGATTACACTTTTCTAGGGGCTTCTCTGAAGGACCTAGAAGTGCTCAGGACCAGGTTGGAGGGGACTTGGAGCACCCTGGGACAGTGGAAGGTGTCCCTGCCCGTGGCAGGGGTGGAACTGGGGGAGCTTTCAAGGCCCTTCTAACCCAAACCACTCTGTGCTCCTGTGATTCTCTGACAGAGGAAGTAAAACACTGCCAAATCCCCACTGCAGATGTTTACTGAGGGTAATTTATATGGGTTGAATTTCCTTTAATGCTGACTTGATTGGAAACCTTGACCTGATCCCTCACAAGGCGAATCAGAGCTCTTAATTATTTCGGTTCTCCTCCTGTTAATGAAATGCAACAGTGTCATTAGTGAGGCTTGTCAGCCACACTGATGTGCAGAGAAATGATTTGACACTGCTTTTGTCATCTAATCCTTGCAGGAAAAACAGTCACAACGTCACTCCAGCACTGTAAATAAAAATCCTTCAAGACAAAGAGGACAGATGGCAACACTCCCAAGGAATATCACCTAAAATATTCATCCTTTAGGAGGAGAGGAGGGCTAGCCCTGTCAACAGTCAGATTTGAATCTTCCAAGGGAAAAAAAAAACCCGAAAACAAAACCAAATATGCTCTGTTCATGAAGTGAGGGAAGAGCTCTGCCAAGACAGGGATTTTTGGTGAAGATTTGCTGCACTCAGTGCCACTGCACCCTCTGTCAGCATCTCTCACTATCAGCATCAGAAGCATGATCCACGCGCACTTCTGTGCACAGGCTCAATTGCCACCATCAATTATTATTGTCAGCTCCTCAAACCAGCAAAAGCATTCAGGGCAAACTTACAAACTGCAGGACCTCAGTGTTAATGCAATTCCACAGGAAAAGCCTTGTCCATCCCTCCCTTCCCCTCTCCTCCCATTTTAACTGCAATTCCAGGCTGTTAAAATGTCAACTACCAAGCTAAACCAGCTTCCTGTGGTAAGAGTTAATCAGAAACAAATGTTATCAGAGATGCATGAAACTACAAACTACTGCTGAAGAGACAACTACAGCAAGAGACAACAACAGTGAGATGCACCAAAGACTTGAAATCAAAAGGGAACAACTCAAAATGATACACAAAACAAGGGGGAAAACGCTCTAGTACAGAAACCACCATCTGGCCCTTCAAAACCAGAGCTGCCATGAAGACAATGTATAGTTACCTGCATCCATATCTGCAAAGAAGGGAACAGCCAGTAAGGAAAAGAAGGAACCAGAAATTCAGTGTCTCAGAGTTGGATTTAAAAGTTCATAAGGAGAACAGATAAAGAAAAATCATCAAAAAAGTATTTATTGTAAGATAAACCTTGATAAGGTACTGTGATAATTTTTGATTTCAAGCTATAAACTTGGATTAATGTTAAACACTACAGCGTACAAATTAATTTTCTATGCCATAAGAACATTTTTAAAAAAGACCAAATATTTAACATATTAAACAATAAAAGCAAGTTACACCTTTTTAGGTGAAGATTTTTATTCTCCTAACAAGAAACCCACCACTACAGACAGTAATTGTGGCTTTCAACAGCCCAAGTGAAAGCAGCAGCACCACTGAGAGCAGTCAACTCCTCTCCATCAGGAGTAATTCCCGTATGGACACACACTGGGGGCCCAAGTATTTAAAGGATGCTAAGTAGTCATGGAAAATCCACAATTATATTGTACATACTTAGCCCGGCCTGGAGAACGTTACAGCAAAAATCCCCATGCATTTTGAAGTAGCACATGGGATTGGGTTTTTTTGCCAATTCATTTCTGCGTGATCAAAAATGAGCAGGGATGTAGTTTGTGGGGGGGAAAAGAAGAGTGGGAGCTGTGGATGCACCTACCTTCAGGGGACTCCTCCTGGACATAGGTGCCGGTCAGGTAGCGGTGCACCAGCGCCGACTTCCCGCTCGCCAGGTTACCCACGATCCCCTGGCACGGAAAACGAACAGAAGCAACAAAAAAACTCAACTGCAATCCATCTCTGTAAAAAGCAGCGTCTTCAAGCAAAATCTCCACACAGAGTAACACCCCGAGCAAAACAGGCCACGAGATCAAATAAAGGGCAGAGTGCTTTGGGGTGGGAAGGACCTGAGGGATCATCTTGTTCCACCACCCGCCACTGCCCCAGGCTGCTCCAAGCCCTGCCCAACCTGGCCTTGGACACTGCCAGGGATGGGGCAACCTGTGCCAGGGCCTCCCCGCCCTCCCAGGGAAAGATCTCAGCCCAGCCCCACCGAATTTTCTTCCTGGAGGTGCTCAGATGCCAAAGGACTCGAGGAGATTTGGGGTTGGTGGCTTTAAAGGGGCACACAGAGCTGAGGACACTGTGCTCCCTTCTGGCAGGAGGGATGTGATGGAAACTTCTTTCCCCCTCTGAAACAAGCCCAGCCTGCTCTGCTCTCTCCTGTTTACTTGACCCTCACCAGACGTTCAGAACAGAAGGTCCCTGGAGAGAAGATGAACTCTGCTGATCCGCCCGGGATTGCCAAAGGAGCCGAGGCAGCAGCAAGGAGCTGCACGTGCTCTGCCCCATCTCCTTAACCCCAGCTGGCAGGACAGCACCCTCCTTATCAAAAATGGCTGGATGGGACCCAGCCACGTGTGCTGGCACCCCAAATTCCCCCCTGCCTTGGGCTGATCCCACAGCGTGGGCAGCAGGGGAGGGAGGGATTCTGGGATGAGTCACGGGAAGAAAACGACATCTCCAACACGTGTCCCTCACCCGCACAACATGAAGCAACCTCTCCAATTAATGACTTCTCCCTCACCCCCAGAACATGAAGCAACCTCTCCAACTAATGACTTTTCCCTCCATTACATGTCCAGGTGCTGCAGGACATTTGTCTGCTCCCACCCACACCACAAACCCACTGAGAGCCGAGGGAGCCCTGGGAGCGAACAGCTTGGCCTTGGCACCTCTTCTCGTCACCAAAGTGACACCATATCCCCTTCCACACAAAGATTCCCAAGAAGAAATTCCTTCCCACTTCTTTTTGCCTACAGCAATGTACAAAGTCCCCCCCCATTCAGGATTCACCACTGAAAAATAGTTATTTTAGTGTGTGAACGCTGAACTGTATTTTTAATGGTCTACACATTTGGCCAGGACAACAATTTTCCAGTGAAACCTTCACTTAAAGTGATTAGCCTTGTGTGGATGGAAATTAATTTTATTTTCTTTTACACTCGTGCCAAAACTGTAACTGCCAGGGAGAACAGAAAAGCATCAACCTGGGGGTCCAGACACAGGCAACATCCCATGGCTGGGATGTCTTACTCTATCCAGAGTCCCCAATATTTGAAACACATAAAAAAATTCAAGAACTCAATTTTTTATATATATATATATATATATTCTATATTTATATAATAATATTTATTATTATATTTATTAATGGGGGTCCAGTCACAGGCAACATCCCATGGCTGGGATGTCTTACTCTATCCAGAGACCCCAATATTTGAAACACATAAAAAAAATTCAAGAACTCAATTTTATATATATATATTTTCTATATTTTATATTTATATTTTTATATATTTATTATAATATTTTTTTTTTAAATATCCCAAAGGTCACACCAGGTTACACCATTTGACATCACTTCAGATTCTCTGACACATTCCTACAAAGTAGGAGCAATAAATTCTACACGGGGGGGGGGAGGTTTTACACTCGTGCCAAAACTGTAACTGCCAGGGAGAACAGAAAAGCATCAACCTGGGGGTCCAGTCACAGGCAACATCCCATGGCTGGGATGTCTTACTCTATCCAGAGACCCCAATATTTGAAACACATAAAAAAAATTCAAGAACTCAATTTTATATATATATATTTTCTATATTTTATATTTATATTTTTATATATTTATTATAATATTTTTTTTTTAAATATCCCAAAGGTCACACCAGGTTACACCATTTGACATCACTTCAGATTCTCTGACACATTCCTACAAAGTAGGAGCAATAAATTCTACACGGGGGGGGGGAGGGGAAATCTGACTTCTGATACAGTTTCTCTCTTTGTCAGCATTAATATTTGCTTTAAGGCTGATCCCCCACAGCATGACAAAAATGCCAGCCTGTTTTCACAGCAGTCATATTCCTCTCTCCCCTGCTTTATACACAAACAATCCCAGTCATCCCCATTTATTTATGGATATGTCTGAAATGCACCAAGTTATGACAAGCATGTTAGGGAACAAAAATACCACCCTAACCCAGTTCAGGGAGGAGAAAATTCAGCTACAACTCACTGCTCTTTTCAGTTCTGACTTGTGCAACACTGAATCATTTATTTCCATGTGCCAGACATGCTGTAAAACAAACCCAAGCCACTTTGCCCACGCCTCCTAAAGCCTGTTGGGAAAAATCATACATTGATGGCACTTGGCATTTTAAAGCTGTCCAGGAGAGGAGCCTGACTGCACTTTGCACATTTTTGCAAGAAATTTGGTGATTTTATCCAGAAATCTCTCATGTTTATTCTGCCTAACACATCCTCATCTAATATTTGAACAAACAGGAGCCAGGAACACCAAAGGCAGTGGTCCAACCATGCTCCTGACCACAACAACAGCATCAAAATCCGTAAGTAAAACCCAAGTACTGGATCAGCAGAACCATTTATAGAATCCCAGACTGGTTTGGGCTGGAAGGGACCTCAAAACTCATCCCATTCCTCCCCCTGCCACGGGCAGGGACACCTCCCACTACCCCAGGTTGCTCCAAACCCCTCCAAGGTGGCCTTGAACGTCCTTCTGAGCACTGGAAAGAAACCGAGCCTCGAGCTGCTAAAGAAAGGAGGCAAAAACTGGTGTTCTTTCCTCAAAGGCACACTGAGAAATACCTCCTTCCTTTATTGCAGCCCTGGGGGCTTTCTCTGCTCTCCCAGAGCTGGTTTCTGTTCCCTTTAAAATTCTGCACAGCCCAAAGGGTACAACAACAGCCGCTCTAGAAATACATCAAAAATAAATAACAACCACAATCCATTTAAGGACCTCCCAGCCTGTACAGGAGGACAACCTCTCCCTTTAACATGGCCCTTATGTTCCTGAGCCCCAGGAGCACCCAGGATGAGGCTGAAGTTAGGGAATGACAGAGGTGACTCACGGCCCTGAGCCCTCCCCAAGGGCAGATGTGCAGGAAAGGCAGAGCAGATTTCAGCTGGGCTTCCTAATTTACCCTTCCTCTTGGAACACAAGTTCACAGGCACAGCTGGTGCTGCTGGCTTCCATCATTTGCAGTGCTATAATCAAATTATTATTTTTGTAACAGCAGCAGTTGTGCTTTTCCCCTTGGACAGCTCTCGTGGCACGCTGACCACTGCAAATCAATTCTCTGCAGCAGCCACGCAGCTGAAATTTGTTTTCCCAGCCCTGCTTCAGACAGCTCAGGGGCAGGACACCCAAAGTAGGCACTCACATGATGCAGCCAGGCTGGCACAAGAGAAAAATGCACCCTGAGACCATCAGCTGGTGCTCAGCGATGGTTTGTGCTCTGTATCACAACACGGAGTGCCTGCAGCTCTGCTCTCACCTGCAATTCCCAATTTTCTCAGTGGGTGCTGTGAATCAGGAGGGCTCAGAAAAGGGGAAGGGATGTGCAAGGAAACCCAGGATAAGCCAGCTAACAGTGCTGGACTCCTATCCAAACAACACCTTCCAGTCCTGAATTGCTCATTTTTCATTGTGTGAGGTATTTGGGGTCTTCCAAAAGACACCATCTGTTTAACAAAACCTGGTGACCCTTCCTGCACCAGGGAATTACATCCACTGACTGCAAGATTTTTCATGTACTCACCTTGAGCACTGCTAAAATCAAAGCAGCCACAGAACTGTAGTTGAGAGGATGCTACTCCCATTAAAATGCCTCTCTAAGTGCATTTATCCTGTTAAGCGTGGCCTTGCAGATTCTCTCACCTCCACAAAACACTATTGTCAACTCAGATTTTGGAAAAGGTTTAAATTCTTCAAAGAGATGAAGAATAGACATTTGGTCCTTGAAATAATAGAAACTTATTATGGGGAGATAAAATGAGCTTTACATGTCAGCTGCTAACTTCCACTGCCCTCATAAGACTTCCCTGCTGAGAAGATCCCCCTTGGAAGCTGGTTCATGGAGCAGAACAATTCAAACAGCAATAAAATACTGAGAGACCTTTGAAGTATAAGTAAAATGAATATTGAATATACATCATCTTCATAAAGGTAACCCCAGGCCTGGAAATGTTCAGGGTCAGATTGGAGGGGGCTTGGAGCAGCCTGGATAGTGGAAGGTGTCCCTGCCCATGGCAGGGGGTGGAATGAGATGAGCTTTGAGGTTCCTCCCAATCCAAACCCTTCTGTGAGTCTATAATAGATATGAAGAGGGAAAATTCTTTACTCATTAAAACTGCTTTCCACATTTTTCCCCCAACAGCAGCTGGAGTGAAGCAGGGGAGATCCCCACTCGTGTGTGACATCTCCAGGACATCCCAAGACAGGAGCAAACACGAACTCACCACTTTCAGCTCGGGTACAGATCGGCTCAGTGTCCATTCCTGGCTGTTTACAAAGGCATCTGTGGAAGAGGAGAACATTCCCAACATCAGCATAATGACATTTCATGCTCTACTGCACACAATTTCATGCCACGGCTTCGGGAACGCGAGACTGTGCCATCCACATTCTCCGAAAAATCCCTTTGCCCAGGATTTTTTCCCTGGGAAGCTGAGAAGCCTCAGAGAAAAAGCAAAACAATTCTTCTCTCATTTGCTTCTCCTGTGCTGTGCTCATGTGGAATGTTTGGAGATTGTTTACCCACAGGTGATTGTTCCATTGGATTCTGCTCTGAGCTGTTTTGACTCATTGCCCAGTCAGGGCCAAGCTGTGTCACGACTCTGGAAAGAGTCACGAGTTGTCATTATTATCTTTTAGCCTTCTGTAAGTATCCTTTCTGTATTCTTTAGTATAGTATTCCTTAATATAATATAGTATTCTTTAATATAATATAGTATCATGAAATAATAAATTAGCCTTCTGAGAACATGGAGTCAGACTCATCATTCCTGCCTTCATCTGGGCTTCCCTGCAAATACAACACCAGACCAAAGGTCTGATTCTTGGGAGGCTGACAGTCCAACGTGACAAAAAACCAAGGGCTTGGGGAAATTGTATGAAAAATCCCCAAAATTCCCATTCTGCACAGATCTGCTTCCACATCATCACAGAACTCAAACTAACCCCAGTTAGAGCAAAGGCTCTCCCAACATGTACCTGGTTAAGCCATTTCCCTTCCACAGCAGCACATTCCTTCCCCACAGGAAAAGCCCTGGGTTTGTCACATTACCTGTCACCCACTGCAGCTGCCAGCCACCATCTGCAGTAACTCCTCCACCCAGGTAAATAAGAAAATTTGCTGTCTGAAGCATGTGATTTCCTACTGCACATCACACTTCACCTCAGCAACTGCAGCAGCCAGAGTCAGTGGGAACAGCCCTGCTCAGGCAGGAGAAAATCTCTCTTTATTCCTCAAACACACCATTTTTTCAGTAGCATAATCTAGGCAGGAATAAACCACAGAGCCATTTACTATGAAATTAATTAAAAACTACTCAGGGCAGGGGTTGATTCCTTGAAGAAAGGCAGGTTTATCACCGAAATTAAGCTCTTTGTGCTGCACCTGGCTCCTGCCTGACGATTCCACACCAAAGAAGAGAAATAAGGCTCCATTTTTCTGTATTTAAAATAATTTCTCATTTTGTTCCTTCCATAAAGGTCTGGTCAGCTGTAAGCAAACAGACAGTGATGTTTCTGTTACAAACCCAGTGTGGATGCTGATTTAACCCCTGCAGAACCACACAAACCAGCCGAATGCCTGTGCTGCACAGGATGCTCCAATTCCACGGAAATGGAGCAGCACTGAGATTCTTGGTGCTCCAATCAGTCCCTGAGGTCCCAGGAGGTAACAGCAAGGTTACACCTGACCATGTTGTTTTTAAACAAGCCTCTTAGGGTCCTGCCAGCCACTGCTTCCCCTCCAATGCACCCACCAGCAGCAGGAGAAGGTGGTTTGAAGCATTTGATTTCTTCATCTGGAGAATAAAGAAATTGGAGGCAATTTCCTATTCCAAATGCGACCCTCACTGACTCCAGAAACCATCCAAGCTTTCCCAGCACCCACCTAAAAACAATCACAAAACAAACTTGTGTTTTCCAGTCTGTCTCTATGAAATATATTGCTTTTGCCTCAACAGCCCAAAAAGACCTCTTAACCAGGAATTAGAAAACTTTCTCCAGCTTTATCTAACACATCCCTTTGCATTTCAGCTGTGAATAAACCCTGTGTGTACCTGTATGAGAACACATGGAAAATGATCAGTATTTTGGTACAGATAGGAGCTGCCTCCCACACACACACTGGCAGGGGAAGGAAAACCAAAGGCTCAGAGTGAAATTGGGTTAACCTTTGGCATTCCAGGTGCAAGAGAAGACACTGTGGTCACTCCTCTCCCATGGCCTGAAGTCCCACTTCAGGAAAACCTTTCTGTACCACACCCAGGCAACAAGAACTTGAGATGGGGAAAGAACAAGCAGCAGATTCCGTTTGGGAACACTGCCTGCAAGAGCTGCCCATGGCTGAGGCATTCCAAAGGGACCACAGCTTGGTCTAGGATGTTTTCCAGCCTTCCTGTGGGGAGGAACGTTTTCCCAGCAATGGAATGGGGAGCTTTAGAGTGGGTGTTGGGAAAAATGTCACTGCCCTAAGAGGAAACTCTCAAGTCTCATGGTTTGCTTTGAGCTGCTGTGGATTTGGGAAGGAGCAGCCAAGGCTGAAGGGGATGAGGAGGTTCCAGCTCATCTCCAGACTCTCAGGAGTCAAGGGAAACCATCAGTGTCTTATCCCTGACTCGTGGAGGCTTAGGTGTGTGAAACAAACTGGGAGAGCTCCCTGTTAATGTCAACAAGCTTCCATAAAAGAGAACCACTGGATTTTATCACCATGGAAGATTAAAAAAAGATGAGTGAGCAAATCACTGCTGCTGACTTGGAGAACTGCAAAAAACCTGCCAAGCCAAAGGGGACCTGCACAAGGGGAACAAAAACATCACAAATCCTGTCACTTTTCTCTGTAATAAAAACCTTAAAGTATTATTTTGGAACACCTATGCTTTCCAAAAGGACAAATCAGGGAGGCAATGAAAGCTAAAATTCCGAAAAGTACAGAGGCCAAAAGACAAAGCAGAAGGTGGGCAGCTGCAGAAAGGAAGGATGATCCAGCCGAGAACGTGGATTTATTCCTCCCACTGGGTTCTTCCTTCACCAAAATGCCACACCAGGACCTTCCAAAACTGTATCAGATCTCAAGGACCCTCAATATGGGCAGTATGAGCATTTTAGTCCCAATCAGCAATATAAGAAATAAAATTCTCTTGACAAAGCTACCTTCCCCTTTCTTGCTAAAGCCCTCAGTTCCTGCCCCACACCAGTTTTGAATGTCCAAAATACTTGAGAACAGCTGAAATTCCATTTTATTGCCAAAATATGCCTGTTAAACAAACAAACCAAAAAACCAAAGCCTAAAAAAAACCCCAAACAAACAAAAAAACCTCTCACACCAGAAACCCAAACACCTTGACCTCAACCCAACTAATTTAAACTAAAATCTCCCTCTTCTATTATCCCCAATTTGCAATTAATTTACATAAGGTCTTCCAGTGCCCTTTAAAAAAATAAAACTAACTAACTTCTGTTAGGAGATCCATGAGATTCCTTTACACTGGCATGTTTAGAAGGAATTACCACAGCTAAACACAGAACACGACACAGAACAGCACCTGCAGAGCGAGGTTTGTGTGCCATCATTGGGATGGACATGGAAGCACCCTCTGCCCAATCCAGCTTCTAGGAACATCTCAGGAAAAACTGATTTATTCCACGATCCACAGAAGTCAAGGTGAAAAGGTGAAACACTCACAGATAGAACATGACAAAGAGGTTTGGGGATTGTTTTCCTAAATAAAGAAAACTGACTTACAGCTATAGCATGAACCACTGGATCCATCCAAGTGGAGCAGGCAGAGCCCAAATTGTGCAGCCCAAAAAAATCCTCTGCTGAAGCTGCAACCCCCCAGCACCACATGTGGATTCAAACACAGAGATTTGCATAATAAACAGAACCACATGGATGAAGTTGATCAACTGGGGTCTTGTTTGCATTACTGCCCAGCCCTGGAATCCCAGTGAACTCAACCTGCACGTCCCACTACAGGCTCCACACATGCAAGAAATGGCTTTTGTCAATAATTAATCACAGTTGCATGTGCTGCTCCTTTCATTTCTGCATCACTGATCAAAAGCTTCAAATATTCATGGTGTCACTCGTGTCTTTTTAAAACGTGCACCAAGATGGTTTAAGCTGCATTTCCTTCATCAAGTTTACTTTGCCACAACAGAAGTCTCCATTTTTTTTCCTCAATTCTTCTGTTTTGATTTCTACCACTACAGTAAAGCACGAACTCCCAAGAGGAGCCTCACCTATTTTAAAACCTCAGTTTAGTAACACAGCCCCACCCAGAGGAACCTTCTTAATTCCAGTATTAAGAATGAGATGCTGGTTCCGCCACATGAATCCCAGCATGGTTTGGGTTGGAAGCAACCTTAAAGCCCATCCATTCCTCCATGGGCAGGGACACCTCCACTATCCCAGGCTGCTCCAAGCCCTGTCCAAACTGGCCCTGGACACTTCCAGGGATGGGGCAACACCTGCTGAGGTGAAATCCTGGGGTTTGGTGGCCACTCTTGCCCAGGTCCATGCACTCCATGGCACAGGAAAGCAGCTGATTCCAAGGTTCAACTGTTCCAATATTCCATATTTAAAAGCCCTGCTTAGAATTTTCCAACAGAAAAACCTACTTCTTCAAATCCAGGAATGACCACTAAAATCTAAATAAATACCAGCAAAACAATGTTAATGAGAGAACACAGGGTCAAGCCAATCCCAGCACCCCTGGCTCAGAAGAGGGGAGGGAAGTTATGAAAAGCAGAAATGTGTCCCAGCCATTACAACAAGGCTGTTCAGTCCAGCAGTCTGGCTCATCCCATCCTTGAGTTTTCACACTGGAAACCCTCTCCTAAATTAACTCCATTTACTGCCATGGGCAACAGCAGCAAGGCAGCTGATGGGATCTCTGAGAAAAGGGTTCTAGATGGGGCCAGTCAGATTTCCAGCACCTTCTCCAGCCTGGAGGTCCATCCCTGAGGATAAAACCCCAGCAGCAGGGTAGTTTGGCTGTTTATTAGATATTAACACAGCCCTGGGCAGCGCCAGCACAGCAGCCTGCCCACCACCAGCCTTGATCCACTAATCTCGTTTTGCCCTTTTTTCACCCAGATCTCTCACCCCTGACTAGCAAGAAGCTGGGAAGCTCAGAGCTTCCTCTTCCTCTGATCCAGATGGAAACCCAGTGGCAAACAGAGCAAAAAGGGTGGGCAGATATCTCTGCAGGGTGACATGAAAGGACTTAAATCTTTCACGATTCTTGGAAAGCTTCTTAGCAAGAGCTTCCCTCAGGCAATCCC